GAAATCATTTTATTAGTTTACTTTTGCTATTATTAAATACATTTGTTGCGACTTTTTCGTGATGACATTAAAGGAGAAGAGAACACAGTCACTAATACACTCTCTTATTATCCAGACTTTAATACTAGTTCAGAAAATAAGAACCTGGTACAGGAAACCTTAGAAAGTATATCTATACAAATCTCTACAGATCCTGACCTTCTTACAACAATCAGGAACAGTTACAACACAGATGAGTTCTGTTATAAGCTTTAATACAATCTTAGAAGTATTGTAGGAGCTTGTAAGGATTACAAACTACTATACTTAGACAACCAGTTAGTAATTCTAAGCTCTAGAAATGTGTGTAAAACCTTGTACCATCTTGTATATAATGAACTGAGACATTTTAGTACAGACAAGACTTATCTGTCCTTACACAACTCATTCTATTAGCTCAACATGTGCTAGGATCTTAAACAGAACTACATTCTAGACTGTAATGTATACTAACACAATAAGAACCTAACTATAAAACCTGCTAGTCTACTATATCTGCTACTAGTTCTGAATGTACATTTTGAGAGTATTATGATTGACTTTGTTAGACTGTTGCTAGAAGACAGTAGATACAATAGAATAGTAACAATAACAGATTGACTAGAGAGTACAGACATTAGAATTAAACTGTGTAGGATAGACATAATAGTAGAAGAATTTGCAGAACTATTCTTTAATAAATAGTATTGTAAAAACAGCTTACCTTAGGAAATTGTTTCCAACTAGGACTGTCTGTTCCTGTTCAGATTTTGGACTGTATTACACACAAGAACAGGTATAAAGCTAAAGATGTTAACAGTATACTACTTAAAGACAGATAGAGTAAGTAAGTATACTAATAAGATAGTAAACTAGTTGTTATACTTCTATGTTGATTACCAACAGTAGGGTTGGCAGGCTCAGCTCCTATGAGTCTGGTTCTGTATTATGAATACAGTAAACACTTCTATAAGATATTCCCTGTTCTAACTATATTATAAATGCTTACTATAAACAGTTCTACCATTTATACAACTAGAACAGTTATAAGTAGATTCTCTAAAAGTACAAGCATCAGAATTCCTAGCCTACATACATTAGGATGTTACAGAGGTACAAGACACCCTTTTAGTAGTTAAGACTTACTAAATACATTATACAAATCAAGACTGTACTATAGAAGATTGTTTTGTAGTAGGAGACTAAGTTATACTCTTTACTCATAATTACTACCAGGACTACCTTACACAAATGCTAGAACATGCTGCAAAATTCATACCTTACTATAATAGACTGTACTTTATTATTGTAGCAAACTTAGACAAGTTAGAATACACTCTAAAACTACCCAACTCTAATCAGACTTTCTTAGGATTCTATACAAGCTAACTCAAGCATTACATCCTAAATAATAATGTACTCTTTCTACAACATGCTCTCAATTGACCAGGTCTAGTAGAAGGAGAGGAGGAGGTTTACAAGGTATTGTACATTATAAACATAAGGTACAGAGACTAAGGTTAGTAGTATTTAGTAGAATAGGTAGGATAGGGTAAACAGGGACAAGAATAGAAGGTACAGTCAGAGCTTTAGAGGTCAGCCCCTAAAGTTCTACAGGCCTGGTTAACTTTGCATCCTTATAAGGGTACTATTTTTTTAGAGGAGGGAGGAGTGTAAGCCTGTCTGACAGTTTACAACAGTTTCTGTACAGTTCTACAGTACAGAACCACAGATCCTGTACACAGATTCTTGAGTAGCTTACTAAGCTACACACTTTTTCCATGTGCTCACATTAAGTCCCCCTTTCATTATAACCACCTTCCCTGTATTCTTAGATACATACTATCCCCTTTTGTCTTCCCCTTTAAGTATGTATCATGTTCCCCTTTTTTTGTTCCCCTTTTATTTTCCCCTTTAAGTATGAACTATTTCCTTAGTATATATAGTTGGTATTCTTTACCTTTGTTGTATCAGTTTGTATTTCTGACTGTAACAAAGATACCTTTGTCCTGTCAGCCTTTGTATATTGTTACAAACTTGGAACTTGTTTACAATAGTGTTCAGCACTTCCCTAGTACTGTTCCACCTTACAAGATAACAAAATGTTCCAATTATAACAAATATGAACATATGTCTAAAGAGTACTATAGTCTAGTAACAGATACTATAAAGGAAGTATGAAAAAAGCAAACAACAATAATAATGAATGTATCCACATTACAACAAATTATGGCTCAAACAATGAGTACTATACTTACAGACCTAGTAGTGTTTATTGACAAAGTAAACAAAATGCTAATACTAGACACTGTAAACAATGAACAAATGTAAGAAATACAAGAGGAATTCATGCTTGACAAATTCCTTGACAACTATAATACAAATGTATGTATTAATACATTTAATCATGAAACAATAAAATTAACACATTGTATTAACATACTTGATTTGGGCACAAACATACATGCTACACCTTACTAATTTTAATTAACAAACATACAAAACACAAACCTATTACACATTACAATTGTAAACAAAATAATAATCACACTCAGACAAAGTAGAGTAATAATAATTAGAATACAATAAGATGTAAACAACAAACACAGAATGAATGAAACAAATGTAAGTAGTATCATACTATATAATGTATACTATCATCCTAATCTAAACTTCACATTAATTAGTAAAGCATTACTATGTAAAGTAGGATACTGTCAGTAATAGTGTAGAGAGGACCTGAAGGCTTAGTAAGAGGACTCAGGCTACAACTATTCTACACAACAGAAGTAATAGGATGTAAGTACTAGAATGTAGTCAGAACTTGTAGAATAGACAGGTAGAGAGAGTGAGACAAGTGTAGAGTATATAGAGTAAGCCTAAGAGTACAAGACTACCTAGAGTAGACAAGATCAAGACTACAGGACTAGTCTAACCTTGTACATATATATATACTAAACTACACAAGAGTACTCAGGGAAGGATGAGCTACAAAGAATGAAGAATGAAAAGGTCAAAGATATGTAAACAAAGAATGAAGGGATGGAAGAGTAAAGGGTAAGAGACCTTAGAATGAACAAAGAATGAAGAGGTGGACAAAGGGAAGGAGTGACAAGGTAGAAAGGGATAGTAGTAGGAGGCACTGTAGGAATCAGTCTACATATAGTCTATATACTGTACACTTGAGAGACAAAAGTCCCAAGTTCTAGGACAGAAGGGTACAGAACTGACAGAACTGAGGGTGTGAGAGTAGCAGACTGTAACAGATACAAATTAGTAAAAACAAACAATATGTGTACTATTTATTCACCTGTAAATAAAAAGATTAGAGAAATACAAGTATGTAATAAGTTATATATGATAGTATTGTATCATTATTACTAACAGAACATTAACACAATAACTATAATTGACTTACACAAAAAAATGGGTCATATTAACTTTGAGTATTTATACAAACTCATACAAAATCATTCTGAAATAATACAACAAAAAGTAACAGACAATAAGAACATACAATATAATAATTGTATGTATATAAACATACAATGTAACAATATACCTAAAATACAAACATCTGCAATTTCTAAAACATACAGAGAATGTCTACATATTAATATATAGGGTCCAGCACTTATACAAGTATACAGCAAATACAAATACATACTTACAATTGTTGATGACACTACACAATGGGCAGATATAATACTTATGTATTATAAAAGTAATGCATTTACTGAATACATCAAATACACTACAAAATTATTTACACAATACAGTACAAAAGTAAAAACACTACAAAGTGACAACAATACTGTTTTCCTAAGTAATGACTTTACAACATAATAGAAAGTCAAGGAACTATACAACAATTAACAGTACATGATACTCTACAACAAAACAGAGTTGCAGAATGTATGTACAAAACAATATTTAACAGAGTACAAACATGTCTATTAACATCTAAATTACCTGTAAAATTTTGAGTATATACTACACAATACTAAATGTTTATTCATAATTGAACACTATGTACTGTAATAAATTTTGCAACACCATATTACAAACAGTTTAACAAACAATACACTATAGATAACATATAAGAATTCAGAGCATATTGTGTCATACAGAACGAAAATACACACAAACTAGAGCCTAGAGGTAAATACACACAATGGTTAGGCAACAATAACAAAAGGAAAGGCCATATAACATGACACAATAATAAAATAATGGTTGAACAAAACCTACAATTCATAGATGTACAATCATCTAGAATTGAAGGG